TGGTGGTTTTAATGGGGGTACTTTGCACCTTTGGCTCTCTCGGCACGACTTCACATATTACTGTACAGAATTCATTAACTTCGGCCAGTAATACCTGCAGCGTATTCTGGCTGAAGTCTGGCTTACACCCAAATGTCCAGCCGAGGGGTCATCGTGATATGCTTTTAATATTTCAGCTCGCAGCACAGAGTTTCTCACAATCTTACCTAGAGGGAAATCTGGCGATAGTGAGCTGCTGGATGCAAGGGAATGACGGGATACGTCAGCTTCAAACTTGACTCGGATTTGTATACTTCAAAGACACGTCTGGCTTCACGTTAATATGATCGATTTCTTACTTAAAGAGCACGTAATAAGCTATTTATTTTTGCAATTGCACAGGAACGTGCTTTGATCAACAATGGAACCTTCTGCGTTCATGTACAATTTTACAAAGCGTAAGAAGTAACCAACGGCCGCTAAACTTGGCGGGCAGATGACAAAGCGAGCATTCTTTCTGCCACATTTATGTCGTCTGTTTCTTTTCTTCTTCGTTTGATTGTGCCGTCAAGGTGAATGGACTTTTATTTTTGAATATAACACTCGTGAATAAGATCCGCGTATAAACGTTTTGTTTTAGAGAAGCTTTATTTACGTAGCCGTATTCGCTTTTGAGCTGAAGCCTCGCTCAACACCAGCCAACACAAGCCTTGCAGACACATATACCATCATTCCCAGCGCTCCATCATCGCCCCTTAATAAATTCGCATAGACGGTGGCGCCACACTTCCCTCTAGGTATTTGTGAGAAACTCTATGGCTCGCAGTGATGATGGTACGAGAAACAGAAGCGTCTCACCACAGTGTTTGAAGTTTACCTTGTAGAAGACGTCATTCCGGAGAACATGGAAACGTATTCCCTGAAGGAAAACTCACAGTGCCTATCCTAGCTGAGCCTCCAAGTACTGGATAAGCAGGAGCAGCTTCGGATCCATTCGCTGATGACAGGCCATCTTGAACACACTGGGACCTCCAAGAAATGGGAAACCTTCATGTTCAGAGGATGAATGCTCAACTGGTCCACGTGACAAGCAATCTGCGTTATTGCTTGAGGCCGGATTTGTCCACAACGGTGATGTCATATTTCTGCAGGCGTGGGCTTAGCAAGTCTTCCTGAAGGGTCCTTTAGATTTGCCAGCCAACACAATGAGTGATGGTCCCTGATCGCCCTAAAAGGCCTGCCGTATAGATATGGACTGAACTTGCTGATGGCCCAGGCATTCCTTCTTTGTAGTTGAGTAATAGAACTTGGCATTTGATAGACTGTGACTTGCGTATGCAATAACTTTTTTTTGTCATTTCTGCCATTGAATGAAGATGGCGTCAAGACCAACGCTACTGGCATCGGTGTGGATGTCCGTTTTCGCATCTTCATCAAAGTGAGCAAGAATAGTAAGAGATTGCAAATGGTGTTCCTGCTCAGAGAAAGCATCTTCTTGTTTTTCCTGCCAGACGAATCGCACACCAAGCCGTGTCAATGGTTCAGCGAGCTTGGCGAAGTTTTCATCGAAGCATCTATACTAGGCACAGAGTTCTAGGAATTGTCTCATGGCCTTTTTGTCCCGTGGCTTCAAAAGTTTTCGACAGCTATAATCTTTTCGGGATCTGGGCGGACCTTCAGCACTAACAATGTGCCCGAGGAATCGAAGCTCACGAAATCCGAAGTGGCATTTTTCCGTTTTGATAGTCAGTGCTGCCGCGCGAATGACATTCAGTACTGTCCTCGGACCGCAGATATGCTGCTTGACGGTAGAAGAAAAAACTACTACAGCATCGAGATAGTTGAGGCACGATTGCCATTTAAGTCCGGAGGGGGCTGTATTCGCTATCTTTTGGAAGGTTGCAGGAGCAGAGCACAAGCCAAAAGGGAGCACAAGCCAAACACAACAGAGCAGAGCACAAGCCAAACACAACTTTGAACTCGTATAGACCATCGGGTGTCACAAACGCCATCTTCTCGGAATTTCGTTCATCCACTTCGATTTGCCAGTATCCGCTTTTTAAATCTAATGACAAAAAGGAATGAATGTTTCGTAGCTTGTCCAGGGTATCATCAACTCGTGGTAGTGGATAAATGTCCCGCTTCGTGATGAAGTTCAGCTTTCGGTTGTCAACACAAAACCTCGGGGTGTTGTCCGTCTTTTTGACCAATACCATCGGTGCTGCCCAGGGGCTATGTGGTGGCTGTATTACATTGTCTTTCAGCATTTCCTGTGCTTGTTTTTTCTGGCTTCCCGTTCTTTTGGAGATACTCTGTATGGACGATGATGTACCGGTCTGACATTTTCTTCGACCGCGATGCGGTCATTTTTGACTGAAGTGCATCCAACTTTCAACGTAGTGGAAAAGCACTCCGCAGAATCTTTGATCAAATTATTAATCTGCTCTCTTTGTGGTGATGAGAGCTTATTGTTGATGTCTATTGATTCAAGGATGCTGTCCACTGGTGCAGAATCTGGTGAGTCCCTATGGCGAGTACCTATCATGAGTGCAAACATTCACAACTTAAAAATATTCTTGCAGGGTCGCTATGGCTGCTCACCTCCACCACAACTGTTGCAGCAAGTTATGATGTGATGGTTTTGTTTACAGGTGATGGATGATGCAGCACACTTGAGTAGCACCCTTGCAAGATCTTCGTTTTTCTCTTCTTCATATCTGTCTTTCTTTCGCATGTCCATTACAATATAAATAAATATGCTTGGATGTATATATTGAAACACCAATCTATGTGGAAAGAGGTGGCTTATGGAACGAGGTGACGATAAATGAACCAGTGAAGTTTATTGGACATTTGACTTATTGAGGGATGGTACACATCACGGGCACCTGTCTATATTGGAGCGCCTGCATGCTCTTTATTGATAAACATGCACGAGTGCACCTATTCTTCACGCATAGGACGAGCAATGAAGCAGCACCTCAGTTCACATTTTCTTTGTCTATGCTAATAGAAACACTGTGTAAAATGTTTATTAGTATTTGTTATGCTATTCCTAGGTCAGTTATCTTCAAAATGTATAATCTGAAATTTCTCGTTTTGAATGTTCTTGTGTATATTGTGTCTTTACTGCACTGTTTACCAGCTGGCAACCAAAAATTACACACTTTTATGTTTTTATTCATTTCAAAATAGTTTTGTTGCTGTACAACTTATATTTTTTGCAAAGAGCATTTCGTTGTGCATAATTTGATGCTGCAATGCATATTGGAGTGCTTTTCAAACAGGCAATCACTTTATTGCCGATACATACGAAAAATAATCATTTTCTCACGGTAACGAAAAAGTTAATAATGGTGTGAGCAGTGGTGAATGCCTATCAATTTTAAACTGTTTTTATGAGAATTACTAACAAAAAGAAACCTCTGCCCTTCACTTCCCCTTCTGGTGACTAGGTTCTTTCAGAGGTTGAGCTCTGTAAATACTTCATATTGCTAGTTACTAACAAACTCTCCTAGAACACATACATAGATTGCAGCTAATGCTTGAAGGAAGTTGTTAAAAGGCATACACTCAAGATAGCTAAGTCTCAAGTATGTTTCCTTGCCTACAAATCAATTATTTGTGCTCTGTTAGAGTATGCCGAGATGATTTGGGATCTCTTCGCAAAATCCAACATTAAAAAACTAGAAAGAATACTGCAAGAAGCTCTACAATTAATTTACAAATCATATGGTTGCAGCTCTGTGAGCAAAATGATAAAAAAGGTCATTGTCACAAATTTATCTCAGGAGCTCTTGTCAAGGATGGAATTGAGAGAGACGGGAAATGGGCGTGGCAAGCAAACACACTTTATCACCCAAGAAAACGAGCAATGTGCAAAAAAACAAATAAAAACCAAACAATCGCAAACGCTCACAAAATTACCCCAATAACATCACAAGCAAGACCGATTGTAAACCAGTCAAAATCTGTTAACTAGCCCTAGCCATTACTACTCAGCCAATAATGGCGTCTCAACGATTGAGCGTTCTGACAGCTCACGTCGATTCCTATCTTTTGCCATGTCGACGGTTTCTCAAGTGTGTCGTTGAGGTCTTTCTCAACCTCCTACGATCACCGTCGGTTTGTCCTGCTGAACGAGCCACTCGTACTCATGGCTGGTGCACCGGTCTTTGTTGTTGTCTTCAGCTTCGCTAGAATAGGCTTAGCTCGTCTTGAACTTCCTCGCTGACAGGTCCACTCAGCCGACTGGTGCGGACTGCTACGACTGGTGCGGACTGCCACCGCCCTGGCGCAAAGTGTGATAGCTGCAAGTTCACCAGACTGCTGGGCAAGGATGCGGCAAGTCCGGCCAGCCTCACTCGGGACCTCCAAGGTCGACGGCCACTTCCCGGGCCTTTCACACCGACATCCTTCACCAGGCGGCTATGCTGCTCTCGTCGTCGTAGCGACGCTAATTTCTCACGTCTTCGCAGCTCAGCGTTTCACTTCACAGTGCCAGCTCATCCTCTGGGATTTTTCATCACAGCTCGAGTCGCGTTCCGTGAGCCTCTGTGTCTAATGTCGTTCGTCGACGTGGCGCATATTCGCATCATTGAGGTCTCGTGCACCGCCGCGGCCTTCCCGTGCCCTGTTACTCATGACAGTTACTTACTGAAAGAAACCATGTTTGTCGACAGAAGTTCTTTTATTAGTTAGTAAATGGTCATTAAAAAACTAACGCATTACCTATCTCGATTCCATCTGCAGGTTAAGCAACTAGAATTCGAAATTCACAAACATTTAAGCCTTTGATGCAAAGAGTCAGTTTCTTTGAATATTCTTTCTTTCTTCATACTATAATTGATTGGGAGAACCTAACAAGGTTGTATGTGATCCAAAAATCTTTGGTAATGCCTGAGCATTTGATGTAATTCAGCAGCCTGTGCATGTTCTATGTTGGCACAGATTGTTGTCTCAGTAAAGCTAACACAATTTCCAGTCTGCTGTTTGGAGTAGCTAATACTGTGGTTGTGCAGGTCCTGTCGCACCTGCGTGTGCTGTTCAGCGGCTTTGCGCAAGGTGCTCCCGCCTGTTTTGTGCTGGCTGGAAACTTCCTGTCACGTTCTACGGGCCTCCAGAAAGATCGGGTGCTGCTCAGAGGTTAGTGCGTGACATATGAGTGTGTTGCATTACAGTTATTGATACTTAACAAAACACCGAAAAGAGCACTAGATAAAAGCCCATGTAAAGCACACTTGTGTCCAAGTATATGAAAAATACTATTTGCAACTCCAGAAAACACTCTGTGTGCTGGCAACACTGGTAGAAAAAACAGAAATCGCAGTGCTTAACAGGGTCAATGCAGCGGCACTTTCGCTTGGCGCTGTGCTGAAGTTTTTTGATTGTGGGGCGGGATCGCGTTGCTTCGTCCAAGGCGAAAGGTAGCTGTCGGTCTCATTCTCATCGGCATAAAAGATTTCACTCGCCAAACAGCGGAAATCTCCCTGACGAACAGCATCAGATCTACTTTGAGTTGAAGAACCCCTCTGGAGAGTCCGAGACTGAAGAAGGCAACTGCTCATGTGTAGCAAGCCTCTATAAAAGTGCTAGCGCTTCAGTACTGCGTTACAACACTGCTACAGGCAAAGGCTTAACAGTTTTCGAGGTAGGTATGTTGCGATTCGTGCTGACGATTGTGTGCATCTCATTGAGTTTCGTTGTCGCATGAACAGCTGAATACACATGCCGTTCTTTTGATTACAGAACAAGGCTATGCCTGGGCCATTGTATCTTGAAATAAGGCCAATCTTAGTTTTGATTGTAATGGGAGGGCTCTTTTCTTTTCGTTCACTATCCATGTTATTAAGTTTCAAATGAATAAGTCGTGTGCTTCCGAACACTCATTTGTTCATGTTGGCAGTTGTTGATATTCAGAGCAGATATATGCACGCACACTGTGCACGCTGCAAATGCGCGGACATGATAAAGTAGAACCTATTTGATACGTTCCCGCTTAATGCGATATCCTGGCTCCTGTGCTTGAAATTGTGAAAGCTAAATATTTTCCCATAAAGCTATGTGTTAGTACATTCCACTTAATACGTTCCCAGTAAATACGATTATCTGGCAGCTATGTTTGGCATTGCAGCAAACTGCAGTCGTATGATATGTTCTGCGGGCAAAAATTCTGATTCAGGTGTGCTAAAAGCCTCTCTCGCGTGCTTGTGAAGTGCCAAGTGGCACGCTGCCGCCGTCTGGTGATGGGGATTTCTTTGTTGCATTCAATCGTCACCCCGTTCGAACACAGACCCATCTGAGCCGTCCAATTCTTCAACTGGTTTTTAAGAAATGCCTTTTATTTTCTGTAGCACAGTGGTTTTTGCAATGTAGTGCGGCCTGTAAGGCTGCTGTATCATCGGTACGCAGTTGCTGCCGGCACCCGGCCTTCTGGGTCTGTTTTCATGCCCGTACTGCACTATCGGCTCGGCAAATGCGGGCTTTCTCACGTTTCCACTCTCGGCACTCTGCGATAGTTGTCCGTGGCCTACCCATGTGGAGGCTCTCCACAGCACGCGAGGCTGACCACAGTGCTCGCGCTCTGCGCCACGGCAGCAACGAGATGGACGATGTCATTTTCAATGCAGCCAATGGCATGCGTGGTTTACGATGCTGAGAATGACGTAAATGATATCAAAGCCAATGGACCACTCTCCACTCTGACATTGATGCCGAACGGTTTCGGGATATGCAGGCCGTGCCAGACCCTGCACGAGGCTGCATGCTGCTCAGTGTGCATAGTTTGTGATTCGAGACAGTTGCGTCTAGCTTGGCGTCGAGGAAGCGCACCCCCTTGTCTATTAAGGAGAAGCTGAATATCCTTGCAGCAAGCCCATGGAGCCCACCATGGGGAGCTGGTGGAGGCGTTATTGATGTGGTTTAAACCAGCACGGGCCTCTGGAGTTACTGTATTCACTTGATTCTAGGCCGACCTTGATTCTAAGCCGACCCTCTAGAGACCGAACCCCCCCCCCCCCTTCCCCCAAAGAAAAAGCTTACCTCAAATTTAAGCCAAACAAAACAGCAAAGACAGCATTTATAAAGCAGTGATGGAGATGCTGCTCCAATTGACCCAAACTGCTCGAAAAGAGAAATTCTGCTCCATTGCTGCTCCAAAGTGCAATATTTGCTCCAAACATGTTCCGAAAGTATGTTGGCAAACTAAAAAGAATGAAGTTGAACCATGGGACCAACCAGTAAGTTTAAGCGAAACCAAAAGCAAGCTGTATGCACTATCATCCTAGTCTGCTACTCAGTGGTGTAAATACAGAAAAATCTCAAGGAGGGACACATATCAGGCCACGGTTTCCAATTCATATTTTTAATAAGGGTTGAATTTCATTATATAGAAATTAAATCATGCTTTCAAAAAAAAAAAAAAAGAGCATGGGGTCCGAGCTCGACCAATTGCATTGTTCTATTCAGTCTCTTTTTTTTTTTTTTTCACCTTTATTCGATTTCCATAGTCTACACAGCCGAGGGACATTTACCGCAGGTACGCAGTAAAAGATTAAAAGCCTTTTAAGAAGTTGATTGAGCTATACTTAACTGTTAACTCAATTAAATCACGTCTTAAAGCTAAATCTCCAATGGGACACTTGCAAGGGGTGTCCTCCACAGCTTGAACACCAGAAAACTCCAGACTCTCTTGACCTACCCCCTGCCCATGATTAACGCCAACTATACTGCTTGTATACTAGCTGCATACTAGCATACGGCGCGTTTAATAATAAATATAAATATTTATTAGATGCTTAAGTGATGTTTTAGACTTCAGGAGTCGTTAGAAACATGCATCTGCTCCGGAAACACCAACAGCAACCCTAAACTATAGCATTTTTTCTGCTCCGAAGACACTTGAGCCTGCTCCAAAACACCATTTTTTTCTGCTCCAGAATCTGCTCCAAAAAGCAAAATATCGATTCCATCACTGTCAAAAAGAAAACATTTATTAAACATGAAGATGAAAGAAAGCAGTTGCTTCCTTATGCAAATAACTCGAAAAACATGCAGTTTCTAGTCTTGTTGTGTGTTTCCTTGACATCATTTTTTTGTTGTTGTTTTTGCGCTGCGTCTAGTCCGATGCCGCACTCTATCCTAGTCGTCGTCGCTGCTTCTCTCGTTGCTGACTTCTTTGTCGCTGTCTTCAAATAGTGTGCAATCCTCTGTGCCATCAAGCACATTGAATATGCCGCACTTCTTAAAAGAGCATGCAATCAATATTTCAGGGTTGTCCCACGCTGTAGCCTCTCCAGTGGCACACATTTTTTTATCCATTCCAAACTCCCACCCGGCTTGAATATTGGACAATGACTCCATGGCTAGGATAACTTTCCTTTTATAAGCGGCCCCGCCTGTATGGCGCCATAGAGCTACGCCACACAGACCACTCGAAGCGAGACTCGTAAGGACAAACGGCGTGCCTCAACATTCGCCACAAAGCTCAAAATGGTGGCCTGGTGTTGACTTGGCTACTAACGGCTATAATGTTGTCTAGGTGGTGCTAGTTGTGCACCACTTTTCTTGATGAAAAATGGTGCGTTTTTCAAAATCCTTGAATCTCAGCCGAGCTTAGAGTTTGATGCAAAGAAATTCGAAAAAATTTGTTGGCCTAGATAGATTCGAATAAATACGACTGTGTGCTTAAGGAGCAGCCGTTTTAGGAAGTGCGGTTTTCAGCGGCAGCTCAGAAAGTGTGGTTTTCAGCGACGGAGCCCATCAAAGATGATTGTGTGGCCTGCACGTCTGATCGATGACGACATCGATTAGTAGTTCTCTTCCACTGGCGTCGACGCACTCTGCCAAGTTTGTCTCAATACACAACAACCTCCCAACTTGCGAGCCGTGAAGTGTCGCCAAGATTGTCGCGGAGGTGGTGTGGGGCAACACAACGAAGGATGTTGGGGACGAGGCATTAAAAGACAGGATCGAGAATGAAAGCATGTGCTGACCGGCTAACTATGCTGAAGCTCTGGCTGAGCTGGAAGCTTTACAAAGCTTCTTTTGCAGAAAAGACAATGAAAATGTGGACATTGATCTGCAGTGTGTGCAGAAGGAGCTTTTCTCGTTCAAAGACAACAGCAAATAATCATAATGTGTTTTGAGAAATAAATGTTTTTTGCTCTTACACCTCTATGTGGACTTGTCGGGTTCATTTTTTGCTGAATTCAGATCATCATTTTCGTGGATCGTATGTTTATTTGCAGCGCTTATTAGAAAACGTTTCAACGAGGCTCTACTGTATACATACCAACAAACATAGATACACGCACCTGTGACCGTGGCGCGCATGTTTGTGTGCGTGTGTATACACACACTCGAAATAAACTTTGTTAGGAGTGAAGAATTACAGGAGCTTAATTTAAGAATGGGAAACACTACGACTTGCACAGAAAACAAGCATATGTGAAAAATGCGGTCATACACATAACGCAACAAGTTTCCTAAAGCACTTACTTATGTGAACGAAACTACACTCTGAGCTTAGAGAAGCCAGAATATTCATGAGAATGTATAATGATGTACTCATAGGGGAGAATCAAGTCGTTGTGAGTGAACTGCTTTGGACAAACTACTGCAGTGATGCTACCGCTGGGCCAATGGCATCGAACTGTGCCGAATTGCCCTGGCTGCTACACGCTGCTACATATCTTCAAAATTTTGGCGAGTCTGTGCCCAACCTGCTCCAAAAGGCGTGCTCTGACTTTTGGAAACGAAACTACTTGAGGTTTTCCCGTTAAAAATGACGTCGCGGTGCACCTGCGTTAAGACGCAACTTGAGCCACGACCGGACTAAAGGGGCGAGGGGCGCACACTGCCTTACGGCCTGCTCTTCGGGTCTAGTTCCCACCTTTCACCGCCGCTAGTTGTGGCGCTGCGGCCCAACCCTCTACGGTTGAGCCACAGCTTGGCCAGGGTAAAGGAAAGGCGCGCGCTCACTTGCCGCTCTTATAACCCTGCCCTGGCTACACGTGATACTTCTCTGTGCTAATTTACATGGGCGTCTTCAAACATAGGAGGTTCCTTCCCACTGCTGAATTTCCTGCCTAATAGGGTCCAGCAGCTTAACGTTATATTCGTGAAGCGCCGAATCATAAACATTT